GGGGGGGGGCGGGGACGTACAGCGACCCTCGGCGACGGCCTTCTTCGCCTCCTCGCGCAGGCGCCAGCTCGCGAGCAGGTTCGGGTTATCGTGCGGACTGAAAACGGCGCGGAAAGGCGGGATCCACTGCTCGACGTCCTTCAAGAGCGCGATGAGCGCGCGCGCGCCGCGGACGTGCATCTCCCAATTCGGGTCGCCTGGATAAACGAACAAAAAAAATACAGAAAACACAAAACACGTCCATTCTATATATATATAATATATATCCACTGACCTGGTCCGCCGTTCAGCGTCGCGTTCACGATGTTGATCCCCGCCCCGCGCCAGCTGCCCAGCTTTCCGATCGTGAACGTCTCCTTATGGCCCTCCCACGCTCCGACGATCTCCTGCAGCTGGCGCGGGCTCAGCGCGCGGAACGTCGCGAGGTCGTCCTCGATCTGGTCGTACTCGTCGGGTAGGCGGACGTCGTGCGCCTCGACGTAGTCCCACCAGCGGTCGAACCCGCGCGGCGGGGCGCGGCCGCCGTAGCGCCGGCGGTACTCGGCCGCGGCCTCGTCGAGCGATTTGGACTGGCGGGCGAGCGTGGCGGACCAGGCGCGCTCGGCGGAGGCGATGAGGGCGTGGAGCGGGTGTTGGGGCGCGGAGGGGTTGGCGAGGAGGAGGCCGGAGGGGAGGTCGACGTGCGATTCGGGAGGGGGGTGGGAGGAGGAGGAGGAGGCGGCGGCGAGAGGTGACTGGGGAGAAGAGCCGGGTTTCTGCTTCTTCTTGTTCGTCGTCTTCTTCGACTTGGGTCTGGACTTGGATTTGGATCGGGATCGGGAGGAGCGGTCGAGGAGGTCGGACAGGAGCGGCTTGAGCGGAGGCTGCGTCCACGCCGGGCCCATCTTCTCGCCCGTCGATCCGTCGTCCGGCGTGCGCGCGATCGGGAACGAGGACGGCGGCGGGGAGGTCTCGTGCCAGGCGAGCGTGACGGACAGGTGGCGGATGACGAAGGCGACGGAGCGGTAGGCGGCGGCAAAGATCAGGATCGCGTACAGCGCGGAGAGGACGTGGCGCCGCGCGCGGCGCTTCGGGGTGACGGTCAAGGCGGCGTAGGGAAGGCGGGCCGCGTGCGGGAGCGGCGATTTCGACCTCGACCTTGACCGCGAGGGGGAGGGCGAGACGGAGCGCGGGCGCGGGGAGGGGAAGAAGCCGAGGCCGAAGGCGCGGCCGCGGCGGGGGGCGGTGGAGGAGGGCGAGGGAGACGGCAGGCGCGAGGCGCCGGAGGAGGACGCGGTGCCGGAGGACGAAGGGCGAGAGCGTCGGAGGTCGGGCGGCGCGGAGAGGAGCGAGGCGGGTGCGCGGGGGAGGCGCAGGGTCGGTGACCACGGCATCGTCGCTGCGTTGTCTTACGGCTGTACTAGTATCGGACTATTCGCTTTGATGAGAGAGGGAATGGGCCGTCTCGGACCAGGAGGTCGGCGTCGCTGATCGTCGAGTGCTGTGATAAAGGACGGTGGGGTGAATGAGCGGACGAGGTCGCGTTGCGATTGGGAAGCGACGAAGAAAAGAGAGACGAACGAGGATTGAGCTTGCCCTGCGCTCGAAAGGCACGATTTGAAGGCGGGGGCGAAACCGAGGCGTGCCCTCGCGTCCGGTGGGGGCCCCTGTCAGAACGGACGATCGTTCCTGGACAGCGAGCGTTCGATGGTATCAAATAATCAGCCCCGCGCGCGTCTGACCGCGAACAAGACAGCGAGAGACAAAAACGGGCGCTGGGCGATGCGGGGGGCGACGAGACGACGCCTCCGAGAGCGTCCGGGCCATGGGTGGGTAACTAAATATTCGCTGGGGCGTTTGGTAGGCGATCGCGCCTTGACGTGCACGCCGAAGCGCGGAGAAGAGCGACCAGTCCAGATCCGGGAACCGCGTGGCTTCCCGGGAAATTGCCCGTCCCGGAAAGGAAGGTACCAGCGCCCGTCGATCGTGCCCGCCGCCGACCACCGTCCATCGCCGTCTCCTTGCTACGTCGTGCTGCTCGTCGAGAGAAGAGGCGTTGCATCCGACCCGGATGGAAACGACGGTGCTATTGCTGTCTTTCATCCTCTTCATCGCCGTTCCGCAGCGCATCCACGGCCCCATGCGACTCAGTTCCCGTTCAATCGCCCTGCCAGCGCCCTGCCGCCGCCACCTCCAATAACACGATCGCGATGCTACGGGCGTCATCGCCCATGTAGGACCTTAGCACCCGCCACCGACATCTTTCCGGTCGCGCCGTATCCAAACCGTATCGCACCCCTGCCAACTTACGGCTTTCTCTCTCCCATGCACGTGTACTCCTGTCTATTCAGTCCCTTGCTCTCGTCGACGCCTCGGCATCTCAGCTCATAGTCGATGCGTGCGTCGTTGAGTAGCCGGATGCCGTCCGACATATACATATATATACATTCACTCGCTCTGTCAGTTGCGGCACCCTCCTGCCCGAGTGGGCATCCCCCACGCGCGACCCCTTCCCCCCTCTCTTCCGTCACCGCCCACGCCCAATTTAGCCAGGCACATAAACATCCACCGCCTTCCCCAGAGGAGCGATGACCATCATGACATGACCGAAACTTCCATCTCTTATCTCGCGCCCGAGAGTTACTGCTTCCTCCTCAACCGCCGGGCTTCACGCGGCTGTCCAAAATAGAAAAAAAAAACCCCGCTCGTTCGACTGCCCCATCTATCAGAGGCGTGGACTGGCACCACACACACGGCGCTCGACCAAGCCTATCCAGCGCACCTTTCACCAGAAGCTTCCGCGCTCCACTCACGTAGATCAGAGCCCAAAAGAAAGAAAAAAAAACGCTAAACCCTCGAACGCGGCCTCTGATGACAACCGGCGATGCAGCCATATATATCTGTTCCGAGGTCGGACGTGTATAAAACCCGCAAAACCCTTTTATGGGGCGGCACCGGGCACAGGGGAGGTGCGCTGAGTCTCCGGGATAGATACTACCACGATCCCGATGGGGACGCATCAACCCTCTCGCTCGCGCCCGGGCGGGGCGATGGTGTTCCTCCTCGCCACGCACGGCGGATCATCGATCCATCGTCGATTTACGGTGCCCAGATTCCGACGGCGACATCGAGAGGATGTGTGCATCTACGCCCTACTACCGCTGAGCACACGGCGTCCCCGGGGCGCGACCGACGGGGCGGGAAACATCGCTCGACGTCCAGCCGGTGGACCTTTCCCGACGCACCCTCCCCCACCTCGAGTCTGCTATCATCTCGAGCTCGTCGCGAAGCGGAGACCAGGGCGACTAAAGGGAACCAACTCTACAAAAAAAGTCAAAGGGAAAACGGGTCTCTCGCCCCCACTATTAGGGGTACCCTGCGCATATATGGGCGCATTCGTGTACTTGATACCGAGTTCGACTTGCTCTGTAGACCTGTAACTTAAGATAAAGAAGGTTGAAGGAGCAGGCGATACCCGTGGCTGATATTCGCATAGCCTGCTTCACCTGTTTACTATCCTGCTTCATACATTCCATCTCTTGTTCTACCATGTCCTGTTCGAAATACGATCATTCCTATATCTGGAGCATCGGATGTTCAGCCACGAGAGACGGACAAGAGAAACGCGGTCCATCCTGCAAGGGAAATCACGGTCGCCCGAGGGTGGGCGCGAAGGGGCGCGGGCTCAAGCACTGGCTCGAGCGTGGGGTCAGATTTCCGCCACCGCCCAGTCTTAACATGTAACAAATTCATGGTACTACAAGGCCGACAAAACACGCTTAGAGTATCCTTCATTGCCTGCCTCGACCACTATCGCGACCCGCGACCCTCAACGATCAACGCGGAGCGGATATACCCAGCCCTCACCATCTATGGATGCTCCAGCTTGCAGGACATACCTCATTGCGCCTCATTCCGTGCATGTCTGAAGGGACGCGGATAATATAACTCATGCCTTCCTCCTGAAGCACATCCGTCGAGCCCCTGTTGCGTTGTTCGTGAGTCTATAAAGACCCGCTCACTTCTTCTTTGCTAACCATCCCTTAACTCACCCATCCATCATCCCACAATCATGCAGACTCGTGGGCGTTCCCTAAGCCTCACCCTAGCCTTGCTTGCGATGTTGCCCTCCGCATTGGCCCAAGAGTGTCAACCTGGAGGTTACAGCGAAACGGGCCAGGAACCATGCACTTCGTGCACCGCCGGGGCGTACCAAGATCGTGAGTCCATCTTCATCCTCTCTTATCGTCGCGAACTCATGGTCCACATTGTCAGAGGCCGGCTCGACCTTTTGCATGGGCGCTGATGCGGGCTACTATGTCCCCAGCGACGCTGCGACAGCAGAGACCATCTGTCCCGCGGGCTCGTACAGTTCGGACACCGGAAGCACTGAATGTACCACATGTCCTGCGGGGTAAGCACCCTTTTCCACCGTGGCCGACGTGTTTCCTCATGTCGTCCTTACTCGCTTTAGCTCCTCCTGCCCCAGCGAAGGCGAGACCGCCCCTCAATCGTGCGCGCCGGGCCAATTCCAGGATCAGACTGGAGCGACGAGCTGCAACGACTGTGCAGCGGTGAGCACCCTCCTCCTGTACAGCGCGTCGAATACGAAACTGATTCCGGTACTGCAGGGTTCGTTCAGCGACGTGTCCGGCGCAACGTCGTGCTGCACCTGCTGCTCCGGTTTCTACCAGGATCAGACGGGCCAGACGTCGTGCACGATCTGTCCCGCCGAGGGAAGCTTTGCACAAGGCTACTCCGACCCCGGCGCGACCGACGTCGACCAGTGCACTGCGCAAGCCGGCGCGGTTGCGACCTGCGACCAGGACACTTCGACCGGCACTTGTCGTAAGCGTTCACCCCCTCCTTAAGCTACGAGGTTGTACTGACAATCGTTCTAGCCACTACGACTGCTGACCCTGCCACGCCCACCGGCGGAACTCGCAAGCGTGCCCCGGTTCGGCCCCGCGCTAGCTCGTGCGCTCGCGGCCAGAGCTCCTGCCCGGTTTACAAGAACGGCGCCGTGGCGAGATACGAGTGCATCAACACGTCGATGAACCTCGAGCAGTGCGGCGGGTGCGTCACGAGCGGTGGTGGTCTCGATGGCGTGCGCTCGTTGGACGGTGGGAGGGACTGCAGCGCGATCCCGCAGGTGGACGAAGTGAGCTGCTTCAAGGGCGAATGCCACATCAGTCAGTTGTTTTCTCGGAATTCGCGACAACTTATTTTCGACGCTAATGCTGTGGGGCGCGTAGAAACTTGCCGCGATGGCTACGAGGTGTCAGCAGATGGCGAGCGTTGCCAGGTTTCGAAAACCCCCGCCTCTCGCAAGCGCTCTCAGTCCCAGCGCAGGAGGGCCGTTTAAATAACAGACTCCATGACCGCGTCGCTCGGCGTCCCTTCTCCTTCAACCTATTTTCCGACCGAATGTGCTGGCTGAATTTGTTACTCGTGAAATACAATCGCATCGACAGCTGAAGCCCAAAAGCATAGTACATTCCGATGCTTGACAAAGATCTTTCCCAAAACACGGTACCTAGTTCGCTTATTCCACATGTCGGCACAATCGATAAGTTAAGACTCTGGTCAGATCTGGATCCCCGTCTGGCAGGGAAATAAGCGCTTAGAGTTGACCGAGCTGAACGGTCTCCAAAACGCGAGTTTGCTCAGATCCAATTGCAACGTTTTTGCCTTTTCCAAACTCCGCTTCCTTCCAACTCGGGTTTGGACCACATTGATACCGACCTCCGGTCTTACGTGGACAGCTGTTACATCCACTGCCGCCTCACATATGGATTACGAGGACTACTTCACTCGGATACCTCAAGAGATTTGGGATCATATCATCGGATACATCGACCACATCCCCACCTTACGTGCCTGCGCGTTGACCACCCGAAGATGGGTCCACGCCAGCCAATCCCGGCTGTTCTCGCAGCCCTTTAGCGAAATCCTTCATTCAAACTACGAGTCTCAAGGCTTTCGGTCCCTTCTCGATACATTTCAGTCCTCGCCTCATTTGCTACCGTACGTCAAAGAGGTGCACACGACGTTCGCGTACCTCGCCCAGCTTTCGCGTCTCCACATGCCGAACGTCAAACATCTGTCCTTGGACCTGGGTTCGCGAGATTCCCAGGTCTCGATGGAGACTCCGTGGCCAGAATATCTAACGTTCTGTCCCAACCTCCACACCGTCAGCACATACGGCCGCGTGCGCTCGCTCTCGACTCTCGTCAGCTTCTTGCTCGCCCTTCCGCGGGTATCACGCATATACCTCGAATACATCTCATGGGACGAAAGCGTGACGGAAGTTCCGGACTCGACGATCTCCCCGACCGAAACCGCCTTGCGGGTGTTGCATATCACGTCCATCGCGGACGTCCGGTTACTCGAGGCTTTGTGCCGGTTCGCGGAATCCGGGGTGCGCAGCCTCAGGCTAGTGGAGGCGCTAAGCCTGGACGTTGAGGTCACAGACCCTACTATCTCCGCCGTCAACGCTCTGTTGCGCAATAGCGAGTCGTTGACTTGCTTCCGTCTCGCCGCGTACTGGTACAACCGTGTTGAAGAACGTGAGTACTCAGTGTTCGTCGTCGTTCCAACCCGTTACGGCAAGCTCACTGGCGGGGGATCGCAGTCGCTCAGCAATTGTTTGATATGTCCAGCAGCACGCGGCTGAGGAAGGTCGTCTGCAGTCTGCCGCTCCGATCCGCCGATCGCATCGATCCCCTCCTGCACGTCTCCCGTTCTCTGACAACTATCAGCTCCCCCGCGTTCGAATCGCTCGTCCTGAGGATAGACACCCCGGTCAGAGCGCAGAACGTCGCCGAGACGCGACGGCTGCTCGCGGCTATTGCAACCGAACTCGCGGCAGCCCAGTTCGCTCATCTCACGCGGTTGTCCGTCCGGTTCGAGCCTTCGCCGTACGGATCACACGACCCCGTCGAGACGTTGGACGCTCTTGCCAGCGAACACTTCGGGTTTCTTACAGAGCGGGGTGTCGCGGTCGATATGGAAGTCTACGGGACCGGGACCCGCGCAAGCGGTGCGGTGTTTGACGAGAGGGAAGGATGGTATTCCATCGTCGAACGACGACCATGACGATGCGGATCATGTGTATTCACGTCTTGCTTCATATATACGCTAACGTTCGCGTCCGTCCCCGCGAAACTGTTGAGCGCGATGTCCGAAAGCTCGTGGCAGTCAAGATTCGTAATTATTCCCAGGTCAAACTTGCTCATCCCCTAAATTCATGCTGTGATAACATATCATGCTGTCAAACATCCTGTCCCAGGACTTCGTGGCAATGGAGCCAGGAAAGCGTTCCGTTTAAATGCGGCATCGCACACTTCCGAGTTCGTGATTGCTGTCGCTGTTACTGAAGGACCTGCGCTGTGACTAACAAGCCCCACAGGTCCCTTCGGACAAACGGGAAGAGCTGCCGAAGAAGAGAGTTTATGCACTGCGATGAAGTCGCTGTCATGGAGTCGGCGGGGCGTATTCTCCTAAGTTCAAGACAAATGCTGAGTATGTACGTCTTCGATGCTGTCCTCTTCCCAGACCTGAATCAGAAGCTGTCGCCATTATTTGGCAGGATATGGGACATAGCCAGCGCACAAATTCCCCAATGTCTACCATTCAGCTCGACGATCTGCTAGGCGCACCTCTCCTTGGTATTATTGCCTCGTCTACGTTCGTTCATTGGTGCTGTCAGTAGACAAAACTTTCATATCCATCCTCTTTCAGGATATATGGAGTTACGTGTCTACAAGTGTATTTGTATTACACCGAGTACAGCAAGAGTGACGGGATACACCTCAAACTCTTTGCACGTCTTCAATCTTCTGGTATTATACCAATTACTGAGTGCCAGCCCGCAGGTGGCGACCCTCATGTAAATTTTATTGCCTTTAGCTTCAGTGTATACTTTGGCTCACCTGCGTACTTCAGGATCTTAGATACTCTACACGCAGCTCTCTTGGTTCATGTTATCTACTACTATCTAGTTACCAACTTTGGCAACTTCCTCGTGTTGCTAAGAAACACTTGGTGAGCAATTACTACATCTCTTGGTTATGAGGTTAATCGTATCCCTTGATTGAAAGGTCGCTTGTGGTACGATATCAGTTCTCTATTCTCGTCCCAAGAGCTCACAAAGCTATCGCTCCATCAGATCGAAGTATTTATCGGTGTGCGTCATGTATCCATCAATCACAGAAGTCATGTTCACACTCAACCTTTTAGAATCTGCTGACATGCACGGTGCAGATGTGAGGGAGACAAGATTGTGTCGCATATTGGCATTCATCGCTCATGTACGTGCATAGATTCTTCGCACATCGTGTCTACAAACGTGGGTACTGTCTACTATCAAGTCGGCATTTTGGCACTGATATTATCTTTGTCAGTTAGCAATATGCGCAACTGGTGGACACCACTATTGATAGTGCGTGCATTCGACATGTCTGCGGACAAGTTTTACCGATGAGAAGCCTTAGTGTGTCTTGGCCGTGGCCCAGCTAGGTGTGCAGAGCGTCATCGGATGAGAATGTTGCTACCGAACACTGATTGGCCTCGCAGCGGCAGCCATAGGTGGGGATTACGTGAAGCACAGAGTAAAGGATCTAACATCGGTGCTACAGGGTTCACAGTTAGAGGGTGCGTGGCTCAGATTTACGCGCTGTGAGCCAAGAATGAGTGTTTTGTAGCCTTGCCTTCCCCAAGTTTGCAGACACAGACGTGAACATGGTATGCTGGCGTGTTGACACTTCTCATCATTTACCGCTGACCGTCGCCCATGACCATCGAAGCCGTGGACAGCGAGCGCGCTTTCGGTCGATATCACCTGTGACATGGTTATTTCCTTCGCAATGGTTTTCTACCTCAACCGCAACCGAACACAGTTTGCGAAGTGAAGTCTACCTTTCTTTGAAAAGCGAGGAATCCTGACGTTTTGTGTGGAACATGGCAGAACCAACAAGGCAATCAACATGCTGATGACCTACTCGTTGAACACCGGTAAGGTTTTTCTTCCCACTTCGTGGTGGCTGAGCTAAGCTGTTTATCCAGGGCTGCTCACTACGTGAGCCTACTGATCTGGGAGATATCAGCGCACATTCACACCGCCCCATCTTTGTAGTATATTCGCCGCGATCACGTTGTCTGTGGTCGGTATCGTCTTCACAATACCGCCATGTCGTCCGGTCTTACCACCGTTCACAGTTCATGGCCAATCACAAGTCGCTACTCTACGCCCCGTTCTACTTCATACTCGTCCGCCGTGAGTTTCAAAAATATCGTGTGTCCGCGAGAGTCCCCGCAGCCGGCGACTGACCGAATCGCTCCAGTATACTCGTGCTCCTTCATGTCCACGTAAGGTATTCTCGTATTTTTTGACCCCCACGGTTAACATGCCGAAACTGGGGTTTCGATACTAGCTTAAATTCTCGTCACCTCGTTCGGGCTGCTTTGCACGGGCAAGGGGATGTCGTGACCCTGTCGCACATCGGAAGGTCGGGATCGGAGAATAACATCGGCAATCAGCCTATACGATTTAAGGACCCATCTACCGACGACGTGGGGCATGTATTCGACCTCAACAAGCTGGGCGGAGACATGGATGTATGAACGATGTTACGCCGTACTTAGTGGTGGGGGAGTGCTCAGGTGGTCGTCTGATGTTCAACAAGCCCACGACAATCCGTCTATATTCTCTGCATCTGATGTTGCACATGAATATATACGTATATTGCGCACCGCAGACGACACACATGTATATATACGAGAAGAAGAGAAAAAACAGCATCGCGTACAGATATTGCACGTAAAAACACACGGAGTGATACAATTCAGAGAAACGAGCTATGACAGGGCATTGCATGGGGTGGGCGATGACGATACATTGATGCATATAACAGGAGGGAAAAAAGAAAAGAAAAACGGAGAGATGTGGGAGTTGAAAGTGGGGACGGGAAGAGACAAACAAGAGAGGGGGGTGAAAACGAGAAAAATTGCTGTCAGATCACGATACTGGGGAGGCATAGCGGGGAACTGTAACCACGGCGTGGCCATTTGCGCATCCCGATATGGCCACGCACATTTCGCCCTCCTCGGATGGAGAAGCGCGCTGAGAAATATTTGTCCGTATAGAAGGGCAAAGAGAGAGAAAGAGACCAGACGAAACCCGACGGACTGCGTTGTTGTTTTGGCTGTAAATGCTGCGGTGCTTTATAACCTCGAGATCTAAAAATTCCCTCTTGAAATGGACGCGTGCGTGCGGTGTGTGCTGAGTGATGGTGATGACGGTGCGATTGGGACGGATCGACTAAGCGTTCGTGACGGTGAGGGGATGTTTGACGCTCGATCGTCTCTTGAGCCCGCTTCCGTTCTCCGTCGGCGAGTGCTTCCTCTTGCCCTTGCTCGGCGACGGCGGGACCGACAACGCCAGCGGGGTGAACAACGGCGGAGAGTGCGCGACGACGGCCTTATCCGCCGCCACGCCCGACGACGACGACGACGGGTCCTCCCCGCCCCCGGCTCTGAACTCGTCCACGATCTGCAGCGCGCCCTCGATGATCGCCTGGTGCACGAACACGTACTGCCTCAAGCTCTGGCACAGGCTCATGCGCTGCTCGCGTATGTCCTCGACGAGCTCGCGCACGGGCTCGACGTACGTCGACAGCAGCGGCGGCGAGCCGTCCTCGTGCAGCTGGCGCGGCTGGAGGTAGTCGAAGGTCATCTTCGACTTCTTGTTGTTGCCGTCGTTGCTGTCGTCGTCGTCCTCCTCGGCCTTCTTCTTCTCCTGCTCATCGCCCGACTGCGACCCACTCCGGCTGCCGCCGAGGGACGAGAGGACGGTGGTGCGCGAGTCCTTGCCCGACTTGTTGGAAAACAGTGAAGACGGGTTAGACGACGACGATCGAGTGGCATCAGATTCCGATGCAACTGAGGGACCCACAGCCTGGGGAGAGGTGGCGTTCGTGCGCAGCGGCGACGGCGACATCGTCTTCTTCCGCACGTCGAGCAGCAGCGGCGAAGGCGAGGGCGAGATCGAGGGCGAGGGCGAAGAGACGGTGCGCACTCGCGCGTCCGCGACCGGCGACGGGGTCGACCCCGAGGCCGTATCCGTCGAGTCGCGCGTGTGCGCGGACGAAGGAGTGCCTGGGAAAGGCATACCTTGCGACTTGCTCGACGGCGCGCCGATCGACGACTCCCGAGAATTGCTGGTCGACGTGGACGGCTCCGGAGTCGGGGACGCGTTCTCGGCGGGGGTGGGCAATGGCCCCGGCGTCCACACGATTGGTTGAGGAGGGGCAGCCGGACTGTCGGTGGCAGCGGCGGTTGCCGAGATCCAACTGCGCATCGGGATGCGGCGCGCGTCGTTGACGGACCACGTCCTCGTCCTCGGCTGGAACGTCGTCCTCGACGGCGAAGCAGGTTCGGGCGCGCTGGCCAACGACCCAGGAACAGGAATCATGTCGAGCACATCCCCTGTCGACGTAGCGGGGATCGTCGTGACCGACGACTGTGGCTGCGTCTGCGATAGCTGGACAGGGGCAGGTCCCGGCCTAGCCTGGGGCGCGTCTACACCCGCGGGCGCACGTGCCTCGTGCTTCTCGCCGATCGTCCCCGTGCCTGCCTGCGCGCCGCCCTGCGCCTGGTGAGTTTCGACCGAAGCGGGCTGCACCCGAGCCTGAAGCAGCTTCGGAGGGCCCATGGGCACATTCTGTCCACCAAGACCCGCCCCAGCCCCAGCCTCGCCGCTCGCACCCCCGTCGACCTCCATAGGCTCCTCCAGCTTCGCCGTCTCCCTCGCGAGCTCGCGCGCGCCGAGTTCGACGACGTCGTCCACCTGTTGCTGCTGCTGCTGCTGCTTCGGCTGTGAGCCCACCTCGGCCTCATCCACGTCCATCGCCTCCTTCTCCTCATCGCTCGTCTGTCGCGCCTCCTGGCCCGCCTCCATCCTCTTCTTCATCTCCCTCCTAATCCCGTCCAGTACAGCATCGATCACGATGTACCCTCCCGTCCGGCCTACGCCCGCCGAGCAATGCAGTAGCACCGGCCGACGCCCGTACGCGTGCCTCGCGATGCCCGTCTGGGGATCGATGTTCTCCTTCCTCCCAAACCGTTCCTCGTCGCCCGACCCCGATCCCGGCCCCGCGCCCTCACCATCCCTGCGCGCCAGCCTGACCTTGTCGTGCTGCTGATGCTGATGCTGGTGCTGGTACTGCTGCCGCAGATAGGGTTGCTCCCACGGCCACCTCGTGCCCGCCTTCTCCACCCTGTCCACCTCCTTCACGAACGCCAACAGCGTGCGCGGGTCGCTCGGCACGTTCATGTCCGGCCAGTCCAAGTACTGCATCTGGGTCACCACCCGCGGCGGCACGGCAGGGTAGTCCATATGGCTGAGCTCGAACACCCTCTTCACCGTACTGCTGCCCCTCGCAGGCGGAGCGCCAGGCGAATGTCCGGCGCCGCTGATCGGGGAGCGCCCGTGGTCGGACGAGGTCGCTCTCGGACCGAAGAACTCGAACCCGCCGCTATGCTGATTGGCGGCCTGGTGCGCGGCGTCGGACACGGACGGTGTGCCGACGGTCTCGATATGTCGGAGACGCAGGCGGCCGTAGACGCCCTCAGTCCAGTAATTGCCGCACTTGACCATCGACCCCTCGATCTCTCGCGTCAACATTACGATGACGTGCACGTTCTGTTCCCAACATAATCTGCATCAAAGAAAAGAGAGTCAGCGATCGACGACGATGGATGAAAAACGCGAAACCGCAGAGGCTCGCATCCCGGGCTAAAATCGAAACACGCTACTCACGTCCAGAAATCGGCAAAGGTCTATCGAAACCAGAAGCAGCTAACGTCAATATTCGTTCGGAGAACGGTAGTGAATCATCAGTATACTCACCGCCGGTAACGGTCCCTGCGTCGCTATGTACCTCTTGGTCGTGCCCAACGGCTGAACGAAGCTCGCATTGATGTAATCGTCGTCACTCAGCCTTCGCTTGCGCAGCCGCACGCGGGCGTGTTCAAACGGCCATATGTTGCGATACCTGGGACGTCACGACCCCGCCATCAGCGACCGACTCTCTTTCGATGCCAACGGTCAAGATAAGACCGTGACTTACCGGTTCTTCGCGCCTTTCTCGACGCCGGCCGTGATGCTGAACGGGAACTCGCGCTTCGGGGGAGGCGCCGGCGGCTCCAACGTGCCCGACTGGACGACGGCCGGCTCCGAGGCGGCACCGCCACCGCCACCGCCACCGGCCACGCTCTCCTTCGAGTGATGCTGCATGACGCCCGTGAGCCGGCGCTGCTCCGCGAGCTCGATCTTGTAAAACTGCATCGCGAGGCTCTCCGCGCCCTCGTCCACGTCGTTCGCTTTGGGCTGTTTGCGGGCGTCGGCGTCGGGAAGAAGAATCGGTCCGGTCCGGTCGTCAGCGCTCTGTCCTCCAGCTCGGATCGGAAAGGAATCGGTATACCCTACCAGCTCCGTGGGGTCCTCGTCGTCGAGGTCGCCGTCCTGGTCGCTCCGGGACATGTCGTCCGCGCGGCGCGCGATGTCCCGGAGCCATTCGAAGGGCAGGTCGTCGATCCGCCGCCGGATCGACGCCGGGAGGCGCAGCGGGATGCGCTCGGTGATGCCGTGGGAAAGCTCCACGTTCTGCCGGATCGTGTCGAAGAAGGGGTTGAACGCCTGCGGGTTCGGGGTCATGCCGCGCGGCCCGGCGGAGGTCATGAGCTGCGAGGTGGTGGAGGACTTGAAGAAGGCCGCCATCGGGAGATCGCGCGCGCGGAGGGACGGGGCCGCTGCCGCGGGCTGGGAGAGGGTCGGGGGCAGGGCGTGCTGGGGAGACGTGGGGTCCGAGGGCGGGTCCGAGTCCGACTCGTCGTCGGAGGGCGGATCTTGGTCGACGAAGTCCCTGCGCTCGCGCCAGACGGACTGGAAGCCGCCCTGGATCCAGCCGAGCCGCGCGGGGTCGACGCCCTCCGCGTGGAACTTGGCGAGGAGGCCCTTGACGTTCGAGCTGGCGCCGAGGGTGTTGGTGTCCGCGTCGTAGACGAGGATGAAGTCCGACTCGCGCCAGCGCTCGAGCTTGCGCCGCACGAGGGCGGGGAGCATCTCGCCCACGCGGGCGATGTTGAACAAGGGCCGCTTGAGCAGCGTGGACGGCACCGAGAGCGAGAGCGCCCGCGGAAGACGGCCGTTGGTGTAGGCCGCGTGCGGCCGGATGTCGAGGATGAGCGTGCGCGGGTCGGCGAGCCTGTCGGGGAGCTCGGCGACGCGGACGGGGGTGAAGGACGCGGCGGGGGCTGGGGCCGCGGGCGATGAAGGCACGGGTGGTTTAGACGGCGCGGAGAGAGGTGGTGCTGGCCGCGAGGGGAAGGAGAACGCCGGGATCGATGGGCCCGAGCCCTTGGGAGAGTCGGGGAGACGGGCGGTGAGCAGCGGGGGAACGCCGAAGCGCGAGACGACGGCGTCCACGAAGGCTTGGTCGGCGGGGGTGGCGGTGGTGGACGACGACGGCTGGCCGAAGGCGCCGGTGAAGAAGTCGTGCATGGCGGCGACGGGACGAGTGTCGTCGATGTGGGCGACGACGAGGACGATGACAACGGACGTCTTGCTGAGGAAAGGAAAAGAAAAGCGCAGGACGCCTCCGTCCCTGGACCGAGAACAACGAGTGACATCATGGAGCCCAGATGGCGCCCCACGTGCTCGATCGTTTCTCGCGTCGCAAATTTGACCCCCGCGGCCGTGCCTAGGCTGCGTCACGTGCGTGCCATGCGCTTTCACCAACCTTCTGGCCAATCAAGCAACCTGGTTCGCTCTCGTCCAACACTCCAATCAACAGCCGCGAACTCTAATACGCTTATACACACATATACTTGGGTTTGATCCAAAGGGCAGCGACGCGCGGAACCCCAGCTGATCCAACTATCAGGCCATCGAATCCCAGGACATCAACGGCGGCGAGCCGGACTCCGCGCAGGAGCCAGCGCTCCATAATACATCGGAACGTGTTTCTTCCAGTCACCCTCCCTCCGAGTCTCTCACGTACCAAACACACGCCAGCTTCTTGCGTGATCTTCGTGCCGGCGTTTTCTCTGCTTCGAAGAGGAGAGGAGTTGGTCGCGTGCGCACCACCGTTACTGGCACCTCCAGCCGCCCACGCTTCTAGTCTGAATCCCTCAGCGACTCCGCCTCATGCACTCCTGCTCGCGCATGGGCAAACCCCCACGACATAACCTACAAGCAGCGCGCCCAGCCCGGACCCAGACCTCGCAATTCTGGTCAGTCGATGGCCCAACAAACTCGGCGGACGATGAGGTCAGGACTATGTCCAGATCCTGACCTCATCAAGCTCAATGGAGCTCGTAAGGTTGGAACCACGGCGACTGAGGACCTAGACGAGAACCCAAACCATACGCTCTCGCTCTCGTCCTTGGCCCGTACATCCGAACAGAAGTGTTCACTCGAAGGTGCGGGAGGGGGTGGGGGGGATTAAGGCGATGATACCCCGGAAACCCCACCTCGCGCACTCAACGAGCTCCCGACGACTCTCACCGCTAGCTCCACACACCCATATGTTGTTTCCAACACCCCCGCGCGTATACTCTACGCCGGCACACTCGTCTTCTCTCGCATGTGCGCCTCGCTCCGACAGCGGCAGTACGAGAGAAACCCCACGGCCTCCGCCTCAAGCCGCCGCAAGTCCTAGATTCCTGCGGCGATCGCGTGCGAGGGAAAAGAGGGGTGGTTATCAAAACAACGCAACGCCCGGGTTAATCTCCCATCGCTAGGGGCTGCGGGGGGATGACAACGCGTCCGCTCCGGCGGCTTGAGCATGGTCGGGGTCGCCGTCCGAAACGAAGGAATGCTGCTCCCCACAATCTGAACCTGAAGCAATTCCTCAGGCATGTCGTGCTTGTCAGCTCGAATTTGGAAACAAGTTGCGATGACTGTCCGACTCATCCCGACCGGCCCGATCGACAATGACGACGTCTGCTTCGGCGTCGTGCCTCGAGGCACCGCATAATAGGGGGTGGCTGTGCCATCTGTCTAGACACTGCCTCGGGATTAGCAAAGCCTCAAGCACATCCGCGACCATCCGGAAAAGTTGAGGGGGCGATTTTACAACGAAGATCGAAACACATGGGGAGTCACTTGGGAGTCATACGGTAACAGCACCTCGTGTTAACGGTTCACTGGCGCATGATGCGATTGCCCCAACCCCCATCCACCGCATCGTACATCGAAGTACGGCCTCCGACGTAAGAGCTTGCCGTTGATTAAATACCGAACAGCGCCCACAGCGCTGATCTCCCGGCCCTCTTCATGTTTTGGGAACCATATACTCGTGTCCACTCGCGTTGTACCGCCGGCCCGTCCGACGTGTTCTTGAGCATTTTGGTATATTTACTCGAAATGGAGCAGGTTCCTCGTCGGCTTCTCTCCTCCTTGTTCGACGACGTTGGAGGGAAACCGCCCCCACTCGCTGCTCAAGCATCATGTCATGAACGAGCAGAAACGCTGCTCAATCTTCGGCCATGGTCAACGATCATCCTCCTCGTCCATGACTGCACTCATCGTGCGAGGTCCATCCCGACGTCATAATTTGACTCGCCACGGACCGCCCGGCACATCTAACCATCACCGAGCTGCCTCCTCTTCCTATCCGCGAGGCGAAACGAGAAACCATCCATATCGATTACGACACAGCCCGGAGAATCTGGACGTTCTGGAAGTCAGCGCGAAGGTGAGTGAACAGGTCGGCCGGATATACCGACTTAGTTCGGGAGAGTTGAAACTCCTCCTGCAGATGACGCACCGCAAACGTTGCCGCACCAAGCTTGAGCTTCCACGCTTCGGAGAACATGCGCGGCCCTGACGTCGCTCGGCTCGATGAAACGAAGATATCTATCCATCGGGCTCGGGACGGCTGCGCTTGCAAACGCCATCGCCCTTCCCCAGGCTCACCGGCCCGTGCCCGCGATCACGATGCCTCTGAGGCCGCACCCTTCAAACCCAAAGCTCGTCCTCCCCGCGACTTACGCGTCCTCGCCCTCGTCGTCATCCACTGCACGGTCCTCCTGCTCTGACTCATGCCCCACGAGACCCTCGCCGTCATCGCGACCCCGTCCGGCCTACCTCGAGCCTCCGCGTCTGCCAGCCCCGCGTCATCATCGTTCGCTCGAGATCAGCCCTTCCAGCTCTGGTCTTCTGACCTCGCAGCGCTTCTGCCGTCATCGGCCTCGATACTCGCGCGCGTATCCCCTTACATCAGAGAATTCTTCGTAAGGGCGACGTGCTGTTCTGGGACGTGGAAAAGCTAGTACCCCGACATCGCAGTGGTGAACAGCTGCTCAGCAAACGGGATCGCCATGAACCTCCAACCCGCAACCCCTTCCTCGGTCGCTGGGATCGACAAACATCAAGCGAGCGTCACCGACTCCGCACTGGGAACTGCCAGACTACCACCACCACGGTCCCTTCACCGGTGACGACGGAGGCCAACATGGCCCGGCAGTTCGATGACGCAGGGCGAAAGCAACCGACACGATTGTGACTGCTGGTGTTTTATTCCCGGCGCTTCAGCCGCGAGTGCGACCACTGAGTATGCCGTAAACACGTCCGATTAGCGAGCACCGAGCGAAGCTCGGTGCGCCGTCTTGGGCTCGAGGGAGACAATTGAAACTCCGCTCGCGTCTCGCTCTTCATCCCTCCGGACTCCCTCGTCAGTAGAGGTGGCCCACTAGGCAGCATCAGCACACTAAACGCTTGCAAGCGGAAACATGCCGCCCTGGGCCCTGCGCGACAACGCTTTCGACAAACCGCACTACCGGCTCAACCGGGCAGCCTTAGTAGAGCTCGCAGAAGCATTAGGCGTCGAGCCCGGAGGGAACGTACACGAGCTCAAGGCAAGGACGAAGCAAGCCCTGTTCGAGCGGAGGGACGAGCTCATTGAACACCCGTCCTATTCCGCCCTTTACACGGAGAGAGAGAAGAACGAATTCCAACAGGGTCGCACCCAAGGAACCGGGACGAAGGCTCAGACTGGCAAGGCATAGCGGACTATCAAGAA